CAGGGAGGGGAGAGGGGCTGGAGGTAGAATCAATCACCAATGGCCAATGGTTTATTCAGTCATGCCTATGTAATGAAGTCTCCATAAAAACCCTAAAGGAGGGGTTTCAAAGAGTTCCTGGGTTGGTGAACATGGGGAGATTCAGGGAAAGGGATGTGCTCAGAGGGCATGGAAGGGCTTCATCCTTTCCCCAATTCCTTGCCCCATATATCTCTTCCAGCTGTCTTTTCCTGAGTCATATCTTTTTATAAGAAACCTGTAACCTAGTAAGTCAAATGTTTCTCTGAGTTTTGTGAGCAACTTTGTATTAGTAATTTAATCAAACCCAAAGCAGGGGTTGTTGGAACTACCAGTTAATATGAAGTCTGTCCAGAAGGTATCTAGCCACATATTATGAAAAATAGAGACATTTATGGAGGAAGATACAAGATACAAGAAACATTATACAGAGGACAAGGATGCCTCAGTCCCCTTCAAAGTAGGCATTCTGGGACCTCGCACAGTTCTCCCAGTTGCCATCAGCTGCCCTGTTGTATTTTCTTGAATCTCATCAATGGTCTGAAATCTCTTCCCTTTCAAAGGTGATTTTAGTTTTGGGAAAAGCCAGAAGTCATAAGGTGCCAAATCTGGGCTGTAGTAGGGCTGAGTCACCTTGGTTATTTGATGTTTCACCAAAGAACTCTGCATGAGACATGATGCACAATCAGGAATGTTGTCGTGATGAAACTGCCAATCAGCAGTTGCCCAAAGCTGCAGCCTTCTGAATCATCCAAATAATTTCTGCAGAGGAATGTTCAAGCTTAATGCAAAAATTTATGCAGTTTCATTGCTCTACTCACTCAGTCATTTTTGAATGCGATGGCCACACAGTACATATGGTCACTCAACATCCTCTACAGCCCCCACTGACTAGTACAGTGAAGTTGTCATTGTTCACACATGCGCATTCTAGTCCATTCTCTTTGGCGGTCAGGTTATGTCATTATTGCTCAAACTGTTCCCATGTTAACAATGGTTAGACTTGGTTCTGGATAGACCTCGTATAGCAGGTCATTCAGAAGCACAGGTGACAACCTGGACTTGTGACTGCTGTCTGAAATGTGTTGTGTGTAGTGGGGGTAGTCTTGTAGGAGTGAGTGCTTAATCTGTGGAATTTTTGATACTATCTCTGGTTAGATAGTGTTAGAAGAGTTAGAAGAGTTGAAACACCCAGATGGTTTCCAAGAATTACTTGGTGTGGAGTACCCCCTACCCTGTCCCCCAACACACCTTGCACCCGTGTTGGAATTGGTACTCAAATCTTAAATTGGATTAGAGAACTTCAAGGTCCATTCTAGTTTGAAAGTATTCATGTTTGGAGCTCCTGAGGGTAACTATGGCACCTCACATTTGTGCACCGAGTATGGTTTATAAAGTGCTTTCTCTGGTGTTAACTTCCTTGCTCTGCTGTGAGAACAAGAGTTATTACTGTGCCTCCCATGGAAACTTGAACAGGTGCTAAGAAAAAATCATTTGGAGAAATATGCTGATTCTTAACCTGAATTCCATAGCTACTCTGATAGCTGTATAGTGATATCTCATTGTGGTTTTCATTAGCACTTTCCTGATGACTAGTGATATTAAACACCATTTCAAGTGCTTATTTGCCATCTGTTATCTCTTCAGTAAACAGCTCCATTTTTTTTTTGCCATTTTCTAAATGGATCGTTTATTTTTTTTACTGGTGAGTTTGAAAGTTCTTTATAGATATTACTCCTTTGTTGGATATGTGGTTTGCAAATATTTTCTCCTAATCTGTAGCTTGTCATTTCATATTCTGAAAGGGATCTGTGATGTGGTAAATGGTGTTGATTTTGATGAAATCTGGTTTATTTGTTTTTCCTTTTATGGATCATTTCTCTCTTGGGTTATTGCAATAGACCCACTGTTCTCTCTGCTTCTTCCCTTGCCTCTCAATAGCCTTTTCTCAAGAAAGCAATGAGAATGACTTTTATGTAAAATGCAATTTTTCACTCAAAAGTCTCCAAGCTTCCCATGTCACTGAGAGAAAAAGCAACAGTCTTGACAACAGCCTACGTGGTTCCTCATGATCTCTGTGATCTCATCTGTACTTGTCTGGGTGTTGACCACACTGGCTTCCTTCACAATATTCAGACAGGCCAAGCAACCCCCAATTGAGGACTCCAGCCTCTTCATTTTGCCTGGAAAATGGACCCCTAGCTCTAAGCTCCCTTATTGCCCTCCGGTCTCACCGACACAGGACCTTTTTAGTGAAGACTTCCATGACCTCCCACTTAACATAGACGTGGCCTCATTTCCTATAGCCCCAAATTCAGGTTCTTGCTTTAGTTTTCTGCATGGTACTTATCAATATCTAACCTATTCCATATGTCACTTATTTTTAAAAATTGTCTATTTTCTCCTCTAAATTAAGCTCCTTGAGAGGAAATATTTTTACCTGTTTGTTTGTAAATGTTCAGCTACAGGGTCTAGAGAGCCTGGTACACAGGAGGGACTCAGTCAATATTTACACAATGAAGAATAAATGAAGAAAGGAAGGAATGACTATATAAGTCCCAACCTACCTTGCACTCGCTGAGATAAACCCCATGGTCCCAGCTTGGAGAACCTGAGCTGGTGCTGCTGGAATCATCTTTCCTTTTTTGAAGATGGGTTCATTTCTTTTGGGAATTCAGGGTCTAAGTAAGATGCCTTAAGGATCATTTGCCTTGGAATGATGGAATTAGAATTTCTAATGAAATTTCAACTTCAACTGAAGTAATGGTTTTCAATGGTTACTAATGCTATTTCTTGAAAGGCTGATGGGAACATTATAGTGGAGGGACAAAGCAAACAGCACCTGAAACCCCTGGTACATTTAAACATCATTAAAAATGAGACAGTTTTATGTGCTTCTTGTTGTGATGTAATAGGAAGGTAAAAATAATGTTGCAATAATAAGAAATTGAGCTAAATATAATCAATTCCATAGATTTAATTACGTGTTTACAAGGAAATACAGGTAATAGGGAAATACCTTAAATGACATTACACTCAACCAACTGAAATTGGAAAATTCTACAGGATAAACAACTTAGTTTCTTTAACAAATAAACAGCAATAAAAAAGGTAGGGATGAGGGGACTGTTCTAGACTTAAAGATACCTTGACCAATTGTAACACATGGACCTTGTTTGGGTCTTAAAATCAATGGACCAGATATAAAAAAAGACATTTTAACACTGTTGGAGGAAATTGGGTATGGCTTGGTTACTGTTATGAAGAAATTATGGCTAAATCTGTTGGGTGACATAATATTGCTGTTATTTAAAAAAAGTTTTGTCTGTTGAAGATAAATACTGCTACATTTAAAAAGCAATGATATAATGCCTGAGATATGCTTCAAAATCCTTCCCCTCAAACACCTGAACTAAATGGACAAAAAGCTAAGTATGTGTGTGCATTTGTGTGTATACAGAACAAGAATGACAGAATATTGATAATTGTTGAAAATTGGGCAATGGGTTCATTAAACTGTGTTCCTATTATATAATTCTTTACTTTGTGTTTGAAAATTTCTACCACAAAAGGGTTTAAGAAAATCTTCTTTGCCCCTTCTTTTCCTGGGATTCTCCAAGAAATAGGAAGGTTAATCTCACCAGCAAATCTTCACAAGGCTGCATTTGTCTGATCTTTACTCTCCCTGTGCCTGTGACTTTAAGACATTATGTGGTGCCCTTTCAAATTTGGACACACCTCAGTCCAGTGAGTATTCCTAATGTTAGCAGTGATTTCTGGGAGTTTACTTCCTCCATGTACACCAGACCACCCATTGCATCATGGCCACGGCCTCAAAATGAGGTGTCTTTAATATTAGATTGAAGTCAGGAGGATCCAGATGACTCATCACTTATAATTGGTATGAATTTCAGCCCACAAGCAAAGGTGTGTAAGAAACAGTATGAAAAAACTTTATAACTGCAGTTAGTTTGTATTTTAAGTGTTGATTCTGTAGGTGTCCAGTTTGGAATTTCACCCATTCCTGTTTGGAAATCACACAGGGCCCTGGTCCTGTGGGGTGGGGTGGGGTGACCCATGGTCACTGTTTAGTAGAGCACACAGTTGTAGTTTCGATGTCCATCAGCTTGGTTGCCATGCCTCCTTTAGATCGAGTGGTCGCCTTGCCATGGGTGGGACAGGTTACCAAGATTCTGCTTGCATGCACAATACATCCATGTCCTCTTGGATTTTTTTTTTTTTTGCACATCTACCTCCCCAGCCACACTTGGGAAGCCTCTTCTCTGTGATCCCTACACATTTCTTTCTGACGTAGCACCTCTCAATCCTAGTAGGGCAAGAAGGGATTATTTAACTTCAAAAACCCTGCTTCTGTTCTGTTTCTGCTCAAGCATCCTTTCTTTCTATGGAGCCTGGGATTTTAGAAGCAAAGGCAAAGATTACTAGCATGCTATTATTGCTTCCAGCCTGGCCACGTGCCTCCTCTGGCCAATAAACACGGAGTCTGCTACCCACTTGAATGCAGAAGGGAAAGGGTGAAATAAAGGGAGAAAAGAAAAATATGACACAGGAACAGATTAACATCTCAAAATATCCTACCACATTTGAAAGATGCAAGAGTAGAATTCATGGGAGAGGTTCCATTGGAAAAAAGGAATTGTTCTTAAAAAGGGTGTGTATGAGTGGCAGAGACTATTGAGCCTCAGTCCACAGAATGTTCTGATGTCATCACTGAGGTCACAGAGTTCTGTTGTGGGCCCGGCAACCTTTGCATCTTAACAGCCCTGTGTTGTGGTGAACCCTGGGCTGTGCTGCAGGTTCTCTGTGGGGTCTGAGTTCTTCAGCCCTGTAGGAGACTCAACTATTTTTATTTGTACTGAATCATTTCAATGGACATCCTGAGAGCCAAGAAGGGCCGACCTGTAGGGAGAAGGAGGGGCTGGATGTTAGGCATCTTCTAAGGGACTCTTCTAGTTGGTACTATGAAACGGCAACAAAAGAGGAAACATTTGGAAGATGAAGAGTCCCAGGAAACTGGCGAGAAGGGAGGAGGTATGTGTTGGGCAACTTGTCTGAGGCCCGCAGGTGGCTGCCAGCCTGAGCCTTCTCTAAGAAACTGGGACGGAGGGGAATGTGTCACCTGTGAAGTGGGCAGGGGAAACCCGGTATCAGCTGATGCTGCCATGTCCATCCCGAGGGTCCCCATGGTGTGAGATGGCACAGAGAGGCAGATGTAAAGTCAGCTCCGCCAGTCTGAGCACTGCTTTCCTGGGGCTACTCGGGCCTGAAGCTACATCAGACTCCTACCTGGGGCTCCGTTTGCACAGACTCACAGATGCAGCTATTCTCAGCCCCCTCCCCCTCGTTCTTTCAGTTCTCTTTATTGGGTCTTACCCTGGGGTCACTGGGCAGTGTAAAGGACACTGCTAGAGATCCATGAGTTGCTCTGTGCATTTTACCCATGAGGATATAAAAGCCTAATGAGTTAAAGGATGTGCTGAAAAACATCTTGTGGAGTGAAACACCTGTTTGAAAGGAGATTGTCTAGTGAAGGCGTCTTATTGAAACATGGAGATTTTATTCCTTCAGCCAGAAGAATTGACTGGTTAATCCATGGGAGTGCATGAATCCACAGGTGTGGGTTTCCCAGAGATCAAGGGGAGGGGAGGGCCTTCCAGAGACTGCAACCAACTGTACGATGGTAAGAACTGTTGTCAGGGCTCTGTGGGGAGCACTGAGAGCCCTGGATATACTTCCCAGGCCATGTGGTGACTGTGTCCATTAAATGTAAACTGGTAGCTTGCCCTGAGAAGGGCAGCAGGTCACTTGCAGGAGGTGGGGCAGAATGGAGCCCATTGCAGAGATCCAGCTCCAGGCTTCTGACCCAAACTGGAGCCCAGAAGCTTCCATGAGGCCCAGGGCCCTGAAGACAATATTTGAGCCCTGGGTGCAGAGGCCTGGGCAGTAAGCAGATTTCCAGACAGTGGCTGGGACAGGTTGGGGAAGGCAATGACTGCCCCTGCCCCTTACACATGGCATCTTTTTGTCTGTGTGTGTGTGTTTGGTGGGAGCTGTGGGGAGAATACAGGCACAGTGCTCATAGGATGTGTGGTCTGTGGGGTAAGGTTCCTGTCATCATGCTTGGTACATGTCAGAGTATATTCAGAACTCTTGGGAAGGATTTTCCATGACATGGTTGTTCATAAGCACATGTACACTCTGATGGAGAAAAAAATTGCACATCTCCACACACAACTTCTTTATTAAAGCATACACCAAGCACGTATGTATATACACACATCACTCCTATACTGTGTTCACATATGACCCCTGTGTATGTTGTCCTCTCTTCCCACACCAAACGCTGGAGTTATGTCTATAACTCTACCTATATCTAGATAGAAATAAACACTATATCTTCAACTATGATACAAACACAACTACCCCCAACTATCTCTAAATACCTCAGTAAGAACCAGTCATGGGTCACGCACACCAACCACACAACACCTTATGTAGTAAGACCAAACCCACCCAAAAAACCCAGATTCACCAATTCTTTTTAAGGTTGCTGGATAAGATACAGAATATCCAGTTGAATATGAATTTCAGATAATCCACAAGTAATTTTTTGGTATATGTATGCCCCAAATATTATAACCCAAATATTGCATGGGAATATTTACACTAAAAATTATTCATGGTTTATCTGAAATTCGAATTTAACTGGTGTCCTGTATTTTTGTTTGTTAAATCTGGCTACCCTTATATGCCTACTACCAGCTGACATGCCATATATTTCCTGTATTTCTATTTAGTATCTATCTTTCCTTACTAGAATGTTTAGCATTTTTAGAGCCTAGAATAGTGGAATAGTGCCTGATACACAGTATTGTTCACTGAATATTGCAAATGAATGAATGAATGAGTGAATATAGATCATAAATACAAACCAGACTATATAATCAGGCCACACACTCCTGAGCTGTGAACACAAACCATGCACACAAATTTTCCATAAACATAGATGGGTATTTCCACATTGTTGACCATGCCAGTCCCCCAGTTATCAAATACTTAGCTGATACACATCACTCTCACACTTCTGACATATTCACAGTCGCCACTCATGCCTGCATTCCTAACAAGACACTAATAAAGTAATGATTGGTTATAACTAAATACTGAAGTGACCACTGAGAACCAGAGTCCAAGGCATGGGTATTCACTGCACCTGAAAGAAGCCAGCCACTCAGTAAACACTTGTTGGATGAATGAATGATTCACAAACATGCCCAACTGACCACATGATTGAGGCTTTTGTCCTTTCTCAGGAATCCTGAGGTCACAAGAGGATGCTTCTCAGCTTGGATTGACCAAAGTGGCCAAAGGCTGTGGCACAGGGGCAGAGGAGGTCTCCTCTGCCTCCGAATACTTCTCCTGTGTTTCTTCTCCAAGCAAGCTCAACCATGGCGGTACAGGTGTGGGCAGGAGGCACATAGATCCAAGCACGAGCCTCAGAGGAAACCCAGGGCAATCAGAGGAGCCTGGGGAGAATGGCAGAGCTGTCAGGAGAGCCTGGACATGAGCTCACTGTGGGAGTGAGCCCTGGTGCAATCACGCTGGGGAATTTAGGGAGTGGGGGCCAGGAAGTTCCGGGCTTCAGGTATAGGGCAGAGGGACCAGATTAAGTACCTTCAGAAGAGCACATAAGCTTTGCCTTTACCTTTGCTTCCAGAGAAGGACAGAGTTCCTCAGCACAAGCCTTCAGCACGGGAGTGGGACTGTCAGCCCATGCCCACACACCTCACACATACAACCACACTCCATGCACATCCATTCTTAGCACACACACAAAACCCAAACACATGCCCCAAGGTGCCACTGTTCTTTACCACAGTCCACATTCCACAAATAGCACAGCAGTGACATAAAAAACTCACATCCCTCTCATAGCACACACCCCACCAACGTCCCACATACCACAGCCCTCACCTCCATATACAGAACCCCTCCAGGATGCCTACACACACCAATGAGAAGCCTACAGATGATACCAGATACATTACCCCATAGCATGAGCAACAACCACCAAGCTCATCATACACCTACATCACATCCTAGTCCCTCTCCCTATTCCCACATATTCATTCTCGTTCCCTCAGCTTCTGGCATGCCCCATGCACATTCTGATGTTTCTAATTTCCTTTCCTAGGAATCCAGAAATCACTTCAAGACACTCCCCAGCCGAGATCAACCCTAGCCCATGCTCAAGAACGAGGGGAGACTGCCCCCCTCTCACCACATGTCCCCTTATCGTCCCCTTTATCCGATAAGACCTGTGTGACCTCTCAGTATCTGAACAAAGAGGAAAGGGGCATGAAAGTATATTACATGCAGGTACAAGTGAAAAAGGGTGTAGCTGTCTCCTGGGAGACAGAGGCAACCCCAGAGTCACTAAAAAGGAAGCCGATGGTGGAAGAAGTGAACCTTCCTGAGAATGTGCGAGTAGGTACACCACCCTCTGAGGTGTCTACCAGAAACCTCCTATGTGACAGTGAGGCCAGAGAAGAGGTGAGAGAGCATGAGGAAAGAGGAGAATCAAAGGGCCTGCCAGGATTGCCCACAGTTGAGGAGATACCCAGGGCCAAGACACCTGACTGGTTGGTGACTATGGAGACTGGCTTCAGGTGCATGGCCTGCTGCAGGGTCTTTCCCACCTTGGAGACCCTCCAAGACCATGTGCAGTTAGGGATTAGGGAGGGCTTCAGCTGCCACGTCTTTCATCTCACCATGGCTCAGCTGAGGAGCAATGTGGAATCAGAGAAGATCCAGGAGAAGGAGGAGGAGGAGGAGGAGGAGAACGATGAAGAGAAAGAGAAGAAAGAAGAAAAAAAATCTGAGGAGGAGCAGACCACAGGGTAAGACCTTCGCATGAGGAGGTCCTGGAGCTAATCGACGTCCAGGCTGTGTGTTTCATTCCCAAGGGATAGGAGGTGAGAGGGCGCTGCAGCTGCTGAGGGTGCTGTGCCTTCTCCCAGCCAGGACGTCTCCCGTCCAGGCCCAGGCCTCCACACCGGAGAGTTGGGGGCTGCATCAGATCAGGGAACAACTGAAGGGTGGGGTCAGGAAGGGAAACTGGGCCTCTTCTTGCCCAGGCATTTAATAAAGTCATGACTGTGAGTGGGAATTTATCCTGAGCTTTTCAGTTCCTGCAAGAAGTTCTGAGAATGTCCAAGGGCTAACAGAGCACCTTTCTTCTGTAACTAAGAAGGGTTTTCCTCTGTTTTGGTTTCCACACAGCAACTGAGATTCCAGGCCAGAAGATCCGGGAACACTTATCTTGGGCGAGGTAAGGCCTGAGGCTGGCATGGCCTTCTGAGCCCACATCATAATGGTCCAGAGGAATCTCAGGGAAGGGGCTGCAGGACTGCCCTGCATTACCCCATGCCTTTGGAGCTGCACTGACTTGTGGCATACCCGATGCTTCCCAGGACTTGACCTCCATTGATTTATTGAGAAAGTGGAGAATTTTGACAGGAGTTCCCCCAGAGTCTTCATGATTGACTTCCAGGGCCAGGAGTGGTCTGAGGAAAGGTCAGGGGGCTTAGCAGGATGGGAGGTTTAGGGCTGAGAGCCTTTGGCCTGAGCTGGTATCTCACTATGGCCAGTGGACATAGTCCCTTGAGAGGAAGTAGAATGTGTATAGGGAGATACATGAAAATGAGGTCGGTCGTAAGAGATCTGGAAATGTTCTGGAACCCTTAGTTTGCTGTCGTTGATCTGAAAACACACTCGTGGTGGTATGCATGGCCTCTGAGCCGTAAGGGCTCATATTGCTTCTTGTCTTTTCCTCTCCTTTCTGTTTTGTTTTCTCACTCCTAGGGAGAAGAGAGGATCATGGAGCTAGTAGCAGACAGAGTGCCAGAGGTCTGAAGGAAGATGAAGGGCCCCGTACTCAGGCTAACATATAAATGTTATATGCAATAAAGGCTGTTTTCCAAAACTTTCCTGGATATACTCATTTTTGTAGATTAAACTTTTTTAATATTTTAAATTATTTTTAATTATAGTTTATGTTCAATATTATTTTGTATTAGTTTCAGGTATACAGCATAGTGGTTAGATAATCATATATAATACTTTACAAAGTGTTCCCCCTCATATTTCTAGTACCCACCTGGCACTATATCTAGTGGAAACATCAGTCTTATTTCATCTTATCTATATCCACCACCCTTTTCCAGAAGCAGCAGTATCCAGCCTCTTGGGATTGATTAGGCTTCTGTGTGACTATTTTGCAAGGCTGGATACCATGACAAGCTACAGTGAGTTCACATGGATCAACTGGAAAACAGCAGGTGCTGTGAAAACCCAGGTCTAATGGGTCCTGATTGAAAGAACTAAGAAGGGAAACTAAGAAGGCCTGGAGGGTGGTCTGCATGTCTCCCAGGACAAAGGAGAAATTTCTCAGTCTTGAAGCTGTCCATGGAACAGGTTCCTCCTGAGATGGTGACATTTTGTTACAACCCTCAAAAAGAGGCCACCTGACCACAATCAGGAATTGGGGGAAGAGATTGCTATATTAAGAGTGTGAGCCAGTGAGCTCTGATATTTCTAGTTCTGACAGTCATATTTTAACTTCTAAATTAATTCTTATTCTAGCCTCTCAAGATTTTCATCCTGTCACCTCTAAACTTCATCCTCACATCACCTCTACCACCCACTGGAACTCGAGGCATCTAGCAGGTACTGAAGATGAATTCGGTTGTCCACTGTCTTAAAGGTAAAGAGAAGCGATATGTTTTCCTAATTTGAATAGGGGGTCAAAGCTGAGCTTTAGAGGAACTAAGGGAATTAGAAGCAAATAATTTGAAGTTCAGAGGTTTTATCAGTTTAAGTAGAATAAGGTTTAATTCCAAAGTCCCATGGATTTTTTTTTTCCAGGATATGTAGGGAGTCTTCCACGAGACTTTATTGAATCGACAATAGTTCCAGTGGTCTGGTGTTGTCATTATTATTTTGGCAATAATAATAAACCAGCTTCCTAACTGGTTTCGTGCTTTCTAGCCTCTCCATCAGGGATATCATCTACATATGTCTTTTCCTTTCTTTCTTTTTTCTTTCTTTCTTTTCTTTCTTTCTTTCTTTCTTTCTTTCTTTCTTTCTTTCTTTCTTTCTTTCTTTCTTTCTTTCTTTCTTTCTCTTCCTTCCTTCCTTCCTTCCTTCCTTCCTTCCTTCCTTCCTTCCTTCCTTCCTTCCTTCCTTCCTTCCTTCCTTTCTTTCTTTCTTTCTTTCTTTCTTTCTTTCTTTCTGATTTTATTTACTTATTTTCACAGAGAAGGGGAGGGAAGGAGAAAGAGGGAGAAAAACATTGATCATGTGCCTCTTGCATACCCCCAGTTGGGGACCTGGCCCACAACCCAGTCTTGTGCCCCGACTGGGAATTGAACCACTGACCTTTTGCTTTGTGGGACAATGCCCAACCCCTTAACCCAAGCCAGTCAGGGCTATATGCACATCTCTTGACTCAAGATGCCTAGTGCTTCCTTTAACTATCATTCCAAAGAGTTTAGAATTTGAGGCTTCTGCTAGCTACCCTTTCATACTCATTCTCTGACCACCTCTGTATACTCTGTAATCTTCACCTTTGTTCCTTTTCATCTGCTGTTGAGTCTACCAGGAATTATCTCTTTCTTTCTTCCTAGGTCTACATCATTTCCTTTCCTTTCCTTGGAATGTTTGACTTCTCTCTTCCACAGATTGCTTGAAACACCTAGGGTTTATTGCATGTAAGTAAGTTGGTAGGATATTGGTTATAAAATGAGGGTTCTCACTACTGTTTCTGCTGGGATTGAGACTTCCCTGTAAAGCATGGAGGGGTGTAACATGAGGCTCTGTAGGCAGGATTCAGAGTGTGGCAGCAAGCTCATGGTATCTCATAAGAACTGCACTTACCCAGAGGCAGAGAACTGAGGCCTGCAGCTCGAATGCTTTTCTAAGATGATTGTACACATCTGTCACACCAGATCCTCTTGGTGGGGCCACTGACAGAGCAAATTTTGAATAAGACTTTGAATCTCTGCTCAGAATAAAGTATTTCAGAGCAGTTTGAAGGATTCTAGTAAAGTAGATGTAACTGAACTCCCTTCCCTGAAATCAGCTTAAATGAACTGGAACAGAAAATGAAAATAGATGGGGATTTCTCACAAGCAAGGATGGGCCACAATGCTTGCCACACATGCTATCTGGGAGGTGCAGCCAGGTGTGCCCCCCCCGACTCATACTCACTGACTCTGAGTTTCCCAAGTGTCTGAGTCTGGGAGTGGAGGCTGGAGTCAGTGGTCCAGTGCAGGCTCCGTAGTCTCTAAACTGATTCTGATCCTGGACATAACATCCCTACAGCACACTTTCCTTGTCCCTGGTCACACTGATCTCTCTTCCTCAATGCTTCCCTCCTTTTCTTTCTTACCCCCAGTGCAGGGAACAAATTTATTATTTGTTCACAGAAACCTCTGCTGTTCTGCTGTGGCTTTTGCTTTTAACATTCCAAAGCCAAGAATTTTTCTTTTTTCTTCCTTAATTGTGCTCGGTTTTTACCTGCCTAATGCAATGAACTCAGAGTACTTAGCTGACAAGATGGGGGAAAGGGAATCTAGGAGCAAAAAGAAATAATAAAAAGTATTTCATTTAATTTTTCACAGTATTATCCAGTTATATATATTTAAAGTTTAGGAGTAATATAGAAATATTCCCTTCATAAAAACCTCATATGATATTAAAGTAAAAAAAATCCCTTTTCATAATACTCCAACTTTACTCCCAAGTTTACTTTACTCCCAACTTTACTCCTATTTCCTTTTGCAGAGATTTTTATTATTATCTGTTTGATTTCAAGACCTTTGGTCCATACATTTAAATACATAGGTGTTTTATATATGATATCTAGCTTTATAGAGATTTTTATTCATAAATTACATCGTATCTATTCTAAAACCAACATTCTTCACTTCTGGTCAAGGTGGTGGCATAGATAGTGTGATACTAGGGTTCATTCTTTTCACTGAGTCACCCCTCATGAAGCAGCCTTTGTCATGGAGAAATATTTCCACCAGCTAGTTGTAAACACCTGCTGAGTGCTTATTCTGTGTCAGGCACTCTTCTAATGACTTTAATATATAATTATCATGTGTAATTTTCACAACACACCCATGTAATAGGTGAGACTCTAAACCCCACGTGACAGGTAAGTGCATATAAAGCACAGATAATACCCAGAGGCCAAGTGACTTGCCTGCGACGTTAGAGTGAGTCAAAGTCCATGCCTTTCCTCACTTTGATCTGTTACCTCCATCTAGGAGGCTTGATGATTTTGCTGCTAAAATCTTTAAATATCACGATACAGTTTTACATCCCTAAAACAATCACAGGGTTGCTAGACGGGCTAACTAAACTGTTATTTTTAAAAACTCCTATGCAGTCACATGAAGGTAAGCCAGTGTCTATAATAAGATTCAAGATTTCTGATTAACTTAAAAATAGCTCCTTGAATATAATTTATATAATATCAAATCTAGTATATAGTCCAAATAGTAACAGAAAAATAAAAATATGTAGAAAGTACTTAAAATTGACAGCTCCTGGGAACATAGAATTATTGGGACCAAGGTGAATACCCATAGAAAAACTTGCTTTTTCTGTCCGGGGCCTTTGAAAGAGCTCCACCAACTGCGGAGGTCCCTGGAGCAGTTGCTCAGCTCACTTCTTAGTACAGAAGTATTTCCCAAGCTGATAGAGTCATAAAGAAGCCTTAAATTTGGTTAGCAGTTCTACATTCTTGATGCAATAATATTTTCAGAGTGTGGGAGGATATCAAGCTATGAAAATATCCTTGGAGAGATTTGCTTATTAAATTTGACTTTTTC